ATTTTAACCATTTGAAACAAGCTACTTCAGAGAATCTGCATTCCCTGCTTATGGAAAAAAGAACAGCATGCACAGATCTAGAACAGGGGTGCCAAAGACCTGAAAGGCGTGACACTTGAAGAGTGGTGGACGGTGCAATAGGGAAACATGATATAAAATTTCATTGCAAAGCTTAAAAGCCTCTTGAGATATCACCCAGAATCAAAAGTTTTACACAAAGAAAGAATTATGAATTTTCAACCATTGAGCTTTGACCTTTTGACCTCAAAATTAGAGGTGGTCTTTTTAGATCATAGAGAGTTGTTAAATTGTAAAATTTGTTGCAATAGCTCAAAGGCTTTTCAAGATATCACAAGTTACAAACCATCAGAAATATAGCTAGATGGAGGGATGGAAGAACAGACAGACAGACCTAAATTAATATCCCCCTCTTTCATTGAAAATATCTGCACTAAGGACTTGATTTCAATAGGTATAATGTAGATTCTTCAGAGATAGACAAAACACAGAACATAAAGACATTGAGCATTAAGCAACTGGAACACAGTTTGCTTTATTTTACAAATAAGATAAGATCAAAATGTTTATTTAAATGTTGGGTTATTTGGGTTTTCTGGCCTCATTTTTAAGATGATAAGTATGTAGATAAGACAAATAACACCTGATATTGTAGGTTGAAAAATATTATACCTTGTATAATAAGTATAAAAAGTTGTTTTTATATCAGTCTGAATTCATTAAATTTGATCAACTTTAGTAGTTCATGGTGTTAATCAATATTAATTTGTTACTAATGAATTTAGGAGTGTTTTGTCAGACATATGACTTTGTTTTGAGACAAGTACAGTCAAACTTGTCATGATGGTCACCTCTTTCCAGCGATCACTTGTCCTGTGTGGTCACTTTATTTCCCCCCAATGAAATTTCTAAAGAAAGTAATCCTTCAGGCGGTCATCTGTGTAACACGATCCACAGTCATCAAGTTTCATGTAAAATCAACCCCTTGGCCAATTATTGTCAAATTTGTCACAGGGTATCCTTGGCCCAAGGGCTACCATTTATACTAAAATTAGGGGTGGGACCCTAAAACAAGGGGAGATAATCACGAAAATAAAACCAAAAGTACTGGTTGCTAAAAAATCTTCTTCTCCAGAACCACCAGGCAGATTTTCACCAAACTTACATACAAGGGTCAGGATATGTTGAAGATTAAAAATTGTTCAAGGCATGACCCTGGGGCAAAGGGCGTGGTCTCAAGGTCACTTCAAAGTTGACCAAAATTTACACTTATTAAAAACGTTGATATTTTGCTTACTATAAAGACTAGGATCATCAAATCTTGTAATTTGATGCATCTCAGGACTTGACATCATGTTAATACAAAAGTAGGTCACGGTGACCTACTTTTCAAATTTTATGGGCTTTTGTTTTCAAATTGATTTGGAGGCATATTTTGGACACTTTAAGGCCTATGATCATAAAACTTTGTCAGTTGGTGCATCTTGGGTCCACAAACAACATCAACTTAAAAGTAGGTCATCGTGACCTACTTTTTGAATTTTATGGCTAATCTTTTCTAAAACATTTAATCCCATTATTTCAGACACCGAGAGGTTTAGAATCACCAAATCTTGTAAGTTGATGCATCTAGAGGCCTTAAAACATATTTATCAAAAAGTAGGTCACTGTGACCTACTTTTTGAACTTTGCAGGCATTTGTTTTCAAATTGTTTAAAAGGCATATTTTGAATACTATTAGACCTATGATCATCAAATTTTGTCAGTTGATGCATCTTTGGTCTTCAGAAAATGTCGACCAAAAAGTAGGTCACTGTGACCTACTTTCGACATTTTATGGCTAGATTTAAGTATCTCGGGTACTAATTGGCTTAGAATCATTAAAATTTGTCAGTTGATGCATCTTGGGTTTTCGGAGATTAACGACCAAAAAGTAGGTCACAGTGACCTACTTTTGACATTTTATGGCTATATTTTAGTATCTCAGGTACTTATTGGCTTAGAATCATCAAACTTTGTCATTCGATGCATCTTGGGTTTTCGGAGCATGTCGACCAAAAAGTAGGTCACAGTGACCTATTTTTGACATTTTATGGCTAGTTTTATGTATCTCAGGTACTAATTGGTTTAGAATCATCAAATTTTGTCATTTGATGCATCTTAGGTTTTGGAGCATGTTGACCAAAAAGTAGGTCACGGTGACCCACTTTTGAATATCTCAGGTACTGATTGGCTTAGAATCATCAAACTTTGTCAGTAGATGCATCTTGGGTTTTCGGAGAATGTCGACCAAAAAGTAGGTCACAGTGACCTACTTTTGTCATTTTATGGCTATATTTAGGTATTTCGGGTACTTATTGGTTTAAAATCATCAAACTTTGTTATTTGATGCATCTTGGGTTCTCGGAGAATGATGATCAAAATATAGGTCACAGTGACCTACTTGTGACATTTATGGCTATATTTAAGTATTCTAGGGTACTTATTGGCTTAGAATTGTCAAACTTTGTCAGTTTATGCACCTTGGGTTTTTGGAGAATGTTGACCAATAAGTAGGTCACTGTGACCCACTTTTGAATATCTCAAGTACTTATTGGCTTAGAATCATCAATCTTTGTCAATTAATGCATCTTGTGTCCTCAGAAAATTTCAATCAAAAAGTAGGTCACCATGACCTACTTATAGTATTTTATAGTTACATTTAAATATCTTCAGCCCTAACTGGCTAAGAATCATCAAACTTTGTCAGTTGATGCATCTTGGGTCTTAGGATAGATTGTATAATTTATTGTTGGAGTCATCTTTAGCTTAAATTAATTTGACAATTTTCAAATTTTCTAAAAAATTTTAGGAAGACCATCAATGTCCAATGCACATCTTTCTTTAATATTTTATAATGTAGTATTATAAAACATAGAGCTAGCATAAACAGGGAAAGAATTTTTTCTTGAAAAAGTTGAACCTTTATTCCAAGATGACCTCTCTATAAAGGTCACTTTTAATGGTTCCCTCAGGCGATGACTTAATACAGTTTTGACTGTATTAATGAATTAAGGAGTGTCTTGTTAGACATATCACTAATGTTATTTTACAAGTATTACTGAATTCAGGAGTTTATTTCTTGTTATGTTTGTTTCAGGTCACCCAGCGGACTACAAGGACACAATGATAGAGGCCCTCCCCACACTCAAAGAGAGGCTGGTCAAGGGGAGATCCCCAACATCCTGTTCAGTGTTATTAATGATCTCTCCAAGGTAAGTGGCAGCTAGAGATATAGATATACTAATATAAGACCATAATACACTTTATTATATGATAGAATAATTCCATTCTCTCGGATTGGATGAGAATCAACAGTTGAAAAAAAAATCTAATACAATGTAGTACGTGTATATGAAATTCACCTGTGCATGACCTTCCAGGTGAATATAAAGATTGATTATCTCTACTTCGATCGAAAAATAGATCAAGAATTCGAAATTGATACAAATCATCAATTGCGGGGATCCAATGTTCATGGATTTCATGCATGTGTCACTCTTACATACAAATTTACATCCCTAAGGATAAATTATTTTGTCAAGATATGTGTGCATTGAATCTTCTGTATATACAAGTTATCCATGTAAATATGCGCTCGCAAACCAACTAAAATTTGTCTATTCATTGATTCATGTAATAAAATAATTACTGCTGCTTTTCTTTAGTCAGTTCAATGATTTGGCCACCTTCGAAATGCACATGATACAAAAATGTACTTCTCAGGTGGCAAAATCATTGTATTGACCTCAAGAAAAGTAATAATTGTATCATATTGTCCATCGTTGCTATATTGACAATGTAATTGGAATAAAAGACCTCAATGTTGACCTGATATAGATTTGATGTCATCCAATATTGAAATGTTGAAGTAGTTTATAATACATGTACTAGTTAATTTAGAGTTTTGATCACCTCCTGTCTTGTGGATCCAAGATAAACATGTAGATATAAAGCTTGTTTTAATACTTCCTCTTAGAGTTCTCTTGCTGTGTTTCTTCAGGTGATTGCTAAGAAGATGCCCTCCGCCCAGCTGCAGAACTTCCTGGAGGTTTTACAGGAGGGGCTACTGGACCCCCAGTCTCACAGTTCATCAGGGGCATGTGTGGTTCTCAACGGCCTGCTGAAGACTCGCGGGGCAGAGATCCTTAGTCAGGTAGGGGTAGAGATAAGACTCAAATAACGGAAACTTTCCTAAGCTTAACATAAACATTTTAGCACATTTGCTTCAATTAACAATGCAAGTACAGTGAAAACTGTCTAATCCGACACCTGAATAATCCGACATACTGTGAATTACGACAATAATTTTAGTTCCCACTTTAGTATTTTCCTTGTTTTTAACACTGTGCAATCCGACACCCTGTCTATTCCGACACAAAATTTGTCTCCCAGTGCATGTCGGATTAGACAGGTTTCACTGTATTTGAAAATATAATGTAAGTTGGTTATTATGCACCCAGATCGAAAGATCCGAGGCGTATATTGTTTTTGTCCTGTCTGTCTGTCTGTCTGTTTATCTGTTTGTTTGTCTGCAAACTTTAACCTTCTCTATAAGTTTTGAACCATGAATGAAAGAGACTTCATATTTGACCACTAATTAAGCTTTTTCAAATGATACCAAGGTCAATGACCTTGACTGTGACCAATATGCTAAAATTAGTTTCTACTAGACTTAATATTTGGCATGCATACTCCACTAATTTAGCCTTTTCACATGTCATTAAAGTCAATAACTTTTTGACCTTGACTGTGTCCTATATGCTAAAAATAGATTTTTTGAAGAGAGATAGAAACTTCATATTTGGTATGCATACTTCACTAATCAAGTTATTTAAATGACACCAAGATCAATGACCTTGTGACTTTGACTGTGACCTATATGCTAAAAATATGTTTTTTTAACTTTTTTGCCATCGGGTGCATAGTGTTTCACAAACACATCTTGTTTTGGAATTTGTAACAAAGGTTTGAATAAAAAAAATAAAAGTAAATTTCACAACTGGTTAACAAAAAAAATTATTTTACCCTATACACATATTTTGAAATTCAGATTTCTGGAAAAATGGTAAAATAACAAAATATTATATAGGCTTCAGGGATATTTGATAATCCAAATCTGCGTTTGAAACTTAACGTGTTTGTGCTTTAAAGTTACAGTTGTGAAAATAGTTCAAAATTATTTAGATTTTAACCAAAACAAAATAATTTTTTTAGTTTCCAGGGATGTTTAAAATTTTACACACATAAAAAAAGTTAATAAATGTGGTGACTGTATATTTGAATGCACATGCACGTGTGTTTTTTGTATCATGAAATGTCTGAAATCTATATTTTGTAACTTTTGTATTGGTATGGTTGCTTTTATAAAGGCATCTCTACATGTAAATTCTCTGTTTCTGGTTTTATATTAAATGAAATATTTAAGGGTAAATCAAAATATTCTGTACAGAATGGCTGGGACATTTGGGTTCACCGATCACACTCGACATCTTCTGATTGTTTTTCAATATTTTTGCATGGACCAGACATGGTGGTATTACAGAACTGTGAACATGTATAAAACATCTGTCAAACCTATATATGGCTTCCAATATTTGTAATCTCTCTTTTCCCCACGTTAATTGTCTTGGTTAGGAGTTATGGTTATGGCTTGTTTTCATTTATTTCCTTTGTGTATTCTGGAAGAGAAGGAGGATTAATTTTTGTAGAAGTGCATTTTTAGATCTATGATAGAAAGTTATGTAGCATTATAACAATGACTATTCCCTGTAATAACAAAAGAAAGTTTAATAAAGAAATTATTTATTCTGTGATATATAATGTGTAATACACTGCTCGTCTTTTACTGCAGGTGGATAACATAGTTACCTCCCTTCACAGTAAACTCGCGAGTATAGACTTCACACAGACTCGGACCGGGACACTGCGCTCGATTCGGACACTCGCTACTCACCACCTGAGCTCAGTCCTTAAAACATTGATGAATTATCAACTGCCATATGACAGGTTTGCACAAAATCTTATAGACTCGCTTATAGACTTAATGCTAAAACACTGGTCAGCTAGCCCATGTCTGGTAGAATTGACAGAAAAACGTTTGAATCAAATGTAAGTTTGTGATCTGAAGCATGTATTAGTCAGAGCATCATCTGAATCAGGTGCATTCTGTAGCTGTTTGGCAACTTCAGGAAACTGACAAGATGCTGTCATAAACCTTGAGTTAAGAACCCTCTCGACACTCCGCACTAAAGAGTTCCAATTCTTTGGCATTTTTCTGCAGTTAGAGTGATCTATCCTTAGATTTAAATTCTAAAAAAAAAAAAATGAAATTAACAGTATATTACTGAATTTATGATCAATACAAGTATTCTTAGCATTTTTAAAGGCCAAGATAAATTAATTGAACATGTTATTAATATGTATATTCTCTATGGAAGTAAACAACAATAATTTCTATTCACTGATACTGTGTTGTGTTTGAACATTTTTCCTGGGGGTAAATGCCATGCACCAAATACTGATAATTAAATAGATAAACTTGATATCAACATCTTTATACAATATATTTTTCTCAATGACCAAAAAAACATTTTGCGCTGGTGTAGAGAGGGTCCTTAACAATCACCTGGACCAATATATTGGCAATCAAACATTGCATGCCACCTTTTATTTGCAAGAACTTTATTTCATTTTTGCATAATTGCATGAGATGCTCTCTTCAAAAAATTTATTCTGGCATGTATTTTTAATGGTATAGATTATGCAAAATAAAAACCTGAACTTGTGAATTTTTTTTTCATTGCTTCTAAATACATGTGTACTGAATACCTATCTTGCCAAAAAATATAGTGCATCAAAATACTGTAGACGTACTTTTTTCCACGGGGTCTTAATTCCGCGGAATCTCAATTTCTGTTGAATCTGCGTGTAGAAAATTACGCGGATTTCCAAGACTGTCACTATATGCCTAACATTTATATTTAGTACGCTTGGACAAATTTCCGCGGAAAATTTGTTACCGCGTACATAGTGTAAATTAATACCATGCGGAAAAAAGTACTTCTACAGTATGTTGATCTGCAGTATTCTATGAGTCATCAACCTTTACAAGGGATGTATCAAGAACACTATACAAATGATTTATTAAGTTCTTTCTGTAATAATAATTTTGTTTTGAACTTTCATCCCACTCAGGGTGTCAGGAACAATTACCCCCTTGAAGTTTTTGCATTGTTTTTGTCTCTTAATTATTTTTTGTCTTCGTTTGGTGCCAGACTTTTACAAGATAAAAATTAGAGCTTTTCTAAGAACAACTGTAGAAAACAGTCATGTTTATTTAATATTTGGCATATAATCAGTATATGATGACAAAAATAATAAATGGTTTTGTCCCCAGCTTTCATAATTTTTTTTTAGCTCACCTGAGCTGAAAGCTCAAGTGAGCCTTTCTGATCACCAAATGTCTGTCATCTGTCAGTCCAGCTGTTTGTCTGTCTGTTCGTCTGTAAACTTCTCACATTTTCAACTTCTTCTTAAGAACCACTGGGCCAATTTGAACCAAACTTGGTACAAAGCATCCTTCGCTGAAGTGGAATTTAAATGATTAAAATGAAGGGCCAAGCCCCCTTCCAAGGGGAGATAATCACGAAAAGACAAAAATAGGATGGGGGGTCATAAAAATCTTCTCAAGAACCACTGGCCCAGAAAAGCTGAAATTTATGTGGAAGCATCATGGGTTAGTGAAGATTCTAAATTGTTCAAATCATGACCCCACGGGGGTAGAGCAAGGCCACAATAGGGAATCCTAATTTTACATTGAAATATAGGGGAAATCTTAAAAAATCTTCTCAAGAACCACTGGGCCAGGAAAGTTGAAACTTATGTGGAAACATCCTGGGGTAGTCTAGATTCTAAATTGTTTTGTTCAAATCATTACCCCAGGGGGAGGGCGGGGCCACAGAGGGAAACCCATTTACATAGAAATGTATAGGAAATTTT